TTATTCTTATCTTTTTTTTTTTTTTTATCCTTATATGTTGTTGTGATGACAGGACCCCTATGATAACAGTGTTCTTGCACTGAAGGGTTATCTTGTATAAATATTCGTTATTATTATTATTATTATTATTATTATTATTATTATTATTATTATTATTATTAGTGCTCTATTTATACTAACCGATCAGCTCATTAGAACATCACAAAACAAAAGGGAAGAAGGCTGAATAAAATCAGTTGAACAGCGAAAATAAATCTGGATAAATTCAGCTTTAAAGTTCATATGTTAAACTAAATAACTCAAAATTAAATGTCAATCAAGCAAGTGAATTTAGGAAGTTTACAAAGAAAGCTGTGTAAAATAATTCGAGTTTCCTTTGCTTAGGATCCCTCAAAATGTCAAAACTAAAAACTAACACGGTTGGTATTTGAACAGGAGAAAGATCCAGTTGTTCATTGACTAAGCTGTATAATTATTCAGAAACTAACCATCCGTTTAAAAGTAAACATTGAAATAAAATGTGTAAATTTAAGAGAACTAAAACATATCAATGCAAATTCAATGTAAATTACGACTAAAACAACTTCAAAGGTAATATTTACAAGCTAGAGATTAAATTCTAATCAAATAAAGAATACATGGGAAATCTCTCCTAACAAAATCGAAGGGAATCCCAAAATGTAAGTTAACCCTTTTAACACTGATAACAAAAATAAATTCTTATTATTTCCCCTAGGCATTTCTTGTAGAAGTCTTGGGAAGAAGTTATTTTAAAAGCATCATTAAAAATATTATCTTGTGAGATCATTTCCTTAATTCTCGTCGGCTACTGTTTTATAGCTGGCATTGATTTAACAAGGACAAATTCGACGCTGACGGTAGGGCTTAAAGATTCAAAACGAAAAACGCGGAAGCAGTAATAATATACTGCAAAGGATTTAAATGGTTTTGGAACGAGGAAGTAGCATGAAGATGATGTGACTACATGACGCGAAACTTTTGAAATTTTTAATACGGAAAAAAGATTTCTTTTTACTCGTTATTTTATTTATCCTTTCCCAAAACTGGACAAGATTCGATCGTGTCCGCGAATCAAATTGCATTTTTAACATATTTTCCGTAATTCCTCTATTAAGCCACCCCCCAACCCCCTTTCTCTTTTAAATCCCCCCTTCCATCAGCCTTTCCCTTGTTATTCTATACAACGGCATTGATCGAATAATAGGCTATTTTGACTGTGGATGAAATC